GGGGGAGGGGGAGGAGAGGGAGAGGGAACTATCAAACTCTGGGCTTAGGATGAGAATCCAGCTCTGATTTAGTTGTGATTAGATACTAAAAGGAGAGGCGGACAGACCACAGTAAATTAAACCCCTCTAAACAGTGCTTTGTGATTTAGCCAACTGTAGAAATGTCCTTCATTCAAAGCCTTTCTCCTCCTCTCCTACCAGCCCCCCATTCTTGTTCCTGCTGTCCAACAGGCGTGACTGGACATCTACTGAAAAGTCAGTGGAAATGAAAAAGGCAAGGAGTGTATGCTTATAGGAACGTGTGTGTATAATTAACGATGTCTCATTTGCTAAAACCTGGGCATGGGTTAGTTTCACATATGCCAGAACATGCAGGCAACGTGGTGGGGTCAAGCCATCTCTCAACAGTTCAGGAAATTGCTTTCTACCTGTCCTGATAACACATCTACTCATTTGAAAAGCTCGTTCTTCCCAGCGTTCACCACAGAATCTGTTGTACTTACGGATAAGGACGGTGTGAGAAATTTGGGGATAAAGAAAGCTATAGGCTTCCCTCTCACTTGATACATTCAAAATTCTCTGGGACGTGTACAGCAGAAGCGAGAAAAGCGATGCACATTGAGAACCTTTATGGGAAGGGCGCGTGTCAAGTACAGCAAATCATTTGAAGACCGTGTTTGAGGTAAATATTATGTCATCAAGCCCAACCATAATACTAGAACCTGAGTGGAAAAAGAGCTTCCAGAACAACAATGTAGCTACTGGGTAAAACTTTGAGATCAGATGTTCATGCTTTGGGTGTTTGTGACATGTCGCCAAGGCTCATGGTGTTCATGGTTGGTCCATAGTTGGGTGGCATTGTTTTGGGACACTGTTCTTTCTTTAATGAAAGAACCTCCTAGATATGGTGCCTGCCTGGCAGATGCTGACCTGTAGGGGGCAGGGTTAGGGAGTTATAGGTAGGTGAGAATTCTCTCTCTATAGAGAATAACAGCCACATTCTCTGCTTCCTGAATACCAGGGTAGCCAGCCACCCGTCACTCAGGCTGCCTCCCTGTCTTCCCCACCACTATGGACCACATCTCCACATCTATGAGTCGGAAAAACAAACTCCCCCTTCCTCAAGTTGCTGCTTGGAGAAATTCTGTCAGAGCGAAGAGAAAAGTGATAGCATACCACCTCAAGTCACATTTTATGAAGACTTTGCAAGTGGGAGTACTATTAAATATTTATAGGACTTTCCATTTAAATGGAGTGACCCTTTGTTCCAAATTTCCAGAGAAAGAATCAATCCTGCTTGATCTGAGATGATGAGATACGAAAATCTGTACTCCAGTTTTCCCTGGAGGATAGAAACAAGTCTGTTCACGGGGTGAAGACATGCTAATTTGTTAAAAGTAACTTCACGATATAGGATTTGCAAGCCAACATGCCCTTATATTTTTTATTTTTTATTTTTTATTTATTTTTATTTTTTTTTTGGTTTTCCGAGACAGGGTTTCTCTTGTGTAGCTTTGCGCCTTTCCTGGATCTCACTTGGTAGCCCAGGCTGGCCTCGAACTCACAGAGATCCGCCTGCCTCTGCCTCCCGAGTGCTGGGATTAAAGGCGTGCGCCACCACCGCCCGGCGCCCTTATATTTTTTAATTAAAAAATGAAAAGCTACCATCAGAGGACAGGATATATAATCCATGCATGACATGTCAAGGAGAAGGGAAAGGCTCATCATGCCTCTTGCATGCATGCAGGGTTACGATGTTAACGCCGGCCAAAGGCTCTCTAGAACAACATGTATATCACATACACAAACAATTTTAGAATCACGACCTCTGTGACTGTCACATCTTTTTGTGACTGCTTTTTCATATAACGGGCACCAGGAGTATCTGAACCACGGGGGCAGGGTCTGTCAGGATGGCCACAAGCATCAGAAGACCATTTTATTGGTGATCCTGGTGGATCAACAAGTCATTTTCAGCAATTTCATTATTTTGACTCTTTGCACTCTCCTGGGAGCCATTTCACAGTCAAGTGTCAATCAATAAGGTATTTACAGGCATCCCAGTCTGGGCATTGCATGGCAAATCAATCTCAGGGCATGGGGCGCCATGCTTCTTTTATAACGAGAGCCATATGGTCCTTTCGGGTCCTGTGGCGACCTCTTAGAATGCTGCTAATGCTGACATCAATACCAATAATAGCAAGGCTGTAATGTGACTACTTAGTGCTTCTGCATGGCTCTGAGAACTGTGCAAAGGGGAAGCGGACTCGGCAGAGTGGCGGCCTGGATGGCCTGGTGCTCTCAAGTCCTGTGTTCCCATTGTACTTAGGGTGTAGTAATGTTGTGCCTTCTCCTGGGAACCTTATTATTATTATTGTTATGCTTCCTTTCCAATTTGTCATCTACTGCCATCTTGAAAACAGAATTTGGTCTCTCTGTGGTGATACCGTGATAGAGAAAAGAACACATGGTATCTGACGGTCATAAAAGACAACCAACATTCCAGTTAATGCAGCTATGGAACTTTGAAGGTTGTGACTAGGGATAAGAACATGTTCTTTGAGAGCAATGCTTTTCTTTCCAGCAAAAGTGGTGGCCATGATCAAAATGAGGTCTACACTGTTGCGTGTTCAACAAAGATTCTCTCTTGTCGTCAAGAGGTAGACATTTGGCAGATAGCATGCAGTTGAACTGGTATGTGGGGAGAGAGGTGGCTGGGCCTTGCCTAGGCTTTTCCTCCACCACAGAAAGCAAGGGTATACTCAGAAGTCATGAGGAAAAAGAAAGAAAAAAGGAATGAACCTGAGAGATAAACAGAAACCTGGGATGAAGAAAAGGATGGTGTCAGAGGTAGGGACTCAGAAGATTCCAGTAACATCATAGAAATATGAGTTCTCACTTTAAAGAATGTCTTTTAAGCCCAGAAAATGCCAACTCACTCTACTTTAGAAAAGAGCCCAAGGGTTATGGCCTGCTCCATGAGATGGAACTCACGTCTGACACTGCTCCAGTGGCCAAAGAACCTGAGCACATAAGCCATAGACGTAAGGGAAAACCAAGTACTCCTTCCTACTCTACTAAAGGAATGTAGGAGTACAATGACTCAATGACACTCTTCTGTATCTGTAGATCAGGGTCTTTCTCAGCCATCACCAGAGAGGCTTCCTCCTACAAGAGATGGGAACAAATACAGAGACCCAGAGATACTGCCAGATAATATGCAGAAACCTTGCAGCAATGCTATGGAACAATCTTTTCTTACACTATCAATCTTTGTTACTCTCATTGGCTAATAAAAAGCTTACAGGCCGGTAGCTGGGCAAGTCAAACTGTGAATGATGGGAAGGAGGAGGGTGGAGTCAGGAGAGACACCAGCCAGCCGCTGAGCCAGCAGGGCATATAAAAAATGAGGTAACAAGTCTTGAGCCACACGGCAAAGCGTAAATAGGACTGTGGGTTAATTTAAATGTAAGAGTTAGCTAGTAACAAGCCTGAGCTATTGGCCAAACATTCATATTCAGCCTCTGAGTTGATTATTTGGGACTGGGCAGTCAGGACAGGATACATCCGTTTCCACTCTGATTCCTAAATGCGACGTCTCCATCAAATCCCTCCCTCAGAGCTCAGGGAACCCTTCAGAAGAGGAAGTGGAAAGGGTGTAAGAGACACAAGGAAATGGTGTCTTCTAGACACCACAGGACCGGCACACACATGAGCTCACAGAGACTGTGGCAGCGCGCACAGGTCCAAGCATTGAGAGGGGAAGTGGACACATCCCTCCTACCTCACCCAGAACCTATCTCCAATTGACAATTGCTCACAAAGGAAAAATGAGTTTCCTCCAGCAGTCTCCCTGGACATACAAACCACACCTAAGGGTAAGACTCACACCCAGCAGGAGATGGTCAACACAAAATAAACTCAATGGTATTTTTGGAGATTTTTTAAAAATAGTTTCATATTGCTTTGTTTGGGCGTTTTTCACCTTGCTTCAGAAAATGTGTTAGAATTATGAGACATATAATATGAAATGGGGGAAAATCTGATATTTAAGAGTAAAGATCCAGGAACTTAAAACAAACAAACCCAATGACCAAGCAGCAGATATAAAAATTCAGTGGATGAAAGGGGAATTTGCACACAGCTAGAGAGGTTCTAAGAGAAAACTTGGAGTATACATCGAAGGAAAAGGGGCTGAACATGGTGGTGCACGCCTTTAATCCCAGCACTGGATCTATGGTCACAACAACACAGATGATATACTTAAAGATGGGTGAGGAGGAGACATCTGTCACATGTTTGGAGGGAGGGCAAGGATGGGACGCAGGGCTGAGGAGGATTTCCTGAAGCCGACCCAGAGCGAAAACAGAACCCTGACAGACTGATCAACTGTCCTGGCAGCAGGGAAGGCGTGTCGGAGCATGTAACCCATCCTGAGACAGAACACCAGGGTGATGGACACCCAGCCGAAGCACCGGGGATAAAAAGCCTGGGACCGTGGCGCTGACACACAGACACAGGCGACTCACCGTCCTCGCTGGTGTGCGGCTCCGTGCCCGCGTCTTGGTCCACTTCCTCCAGCGTGCCGTGTTCGCTGTACGGGCTGTCGCTGTTGGTGGGAACACACACGAAACCAAAGGGTGATCACGGGAGCCAGGAAACATGAGACTCCCATGCAGGGACAGTCCTGGAAAACCCGAGCTCAGAACGCCAGTGCCTCCGTCACTCTCATTCTATGTATGTGCACACGGACATGTAGGTGCACGGCGGCTACCATAACTGGGCATGCCTGCAAGGGATTCCCTGGTTGGCTCGGGTGGGAAGACCCGCCAAGAGTGGGGTCCCAATGAGCATGAGCATCCATTGTCCTCTGCTCCCTGAGTGCAGATGTGTGCAGACGCCTCTGCTGCCATGACGGGCTGCACCGGGAACGGTGAGAAAAAACAAACCCTTCACCCTCGGTTGCTTATGTCAAGATGTTTTACCACACATATGTGTATGTGCGTTTGTGTATACATATGTGTATTTGGATGTGTGTACCTATGTGTATGGGTATGTGTGTATAATACATGTGTGCGTGTGTATGTGTGTGTATATGTATGAATCCACCTTTTACAAGAGGTGCCATGGAGTTCTGGTCAGCCACGCCTTCCCATGAGACCTTCCAGCCTCCATACCTATGAGAAGTTCCTTTTTTCAAAATTACCCAGTCTGAAGTATTCCGTCACAGCGACAGAAAATAGACTAAGGTACCTGGGCTGTTCCCATTAAATAATATTAAACACTAACCATTGGGTGTCCTTACTGACCTCTTGTATTCACGATGAGTCATTGATAAATAAGCACACCGACTAGCTGGCATAGCAGAGAGCCTCAAGGACTGAGACTTCTTTTGTTATTTACATGGAAAAACGACCGGAACCTCCATATCAACCATCTTTAAGGTTCCCGCCTTCTAGGGTCACTCCGTGGACTCTGCTCTCACTCAGGTATGTGGCTGGGAAGGGACACCATGCCAAAACTGTCTCAGAACACATTGATGTGAATTTGCTCACGCTGACCCGCACTACTATAATACTTCTTCGTAAGAGTGATGGTCAAAATAAACAAGTAAAAATGTATTTGCTCGATGGGGCTCCCGTGAATAGAGAACATGAAGATACTTGTCACGGAATAAACCTATCTGATGAGGCTGGGGACGCACGGAGTGTTTGCCAAGCGCATGCACGAGGCATTTGATCCCCGGCATCGGAAAAACCAAAACCCAGGCAGGCCCAAATAAAACCCAAGAATGGAAATGAAATCTGTGAATTCAGTAAGTCATCTCTTCTTGATTTAGTCCAGTAATAAAATATTAACATCGCTCTCTCTGGCATCAAGATCTCATGCTCTGTCTCTGTGTCTCTCTATGTCACCCCGCCTGTCCTGGAACTTGCCATGTAGGCCAGGCTGGCCAGCGCACCCTTAAATAAGCAGACTCTGAAAAGGCAAAACCCTTATTCTTTACAGAGGCCCAGAGAGGTCAAAATTATCTACAATAGTCCGCTAACAGTGTGCTTCCACAATAAAGCCCCCAGTGCCACGGACTTCACTGTTCTAACTTACATGTTACTGCTGCTGTTTCTCCTTTTAAAAATAAATGAAAAGCACTGGTAGCTTATGGGCATTTTATTTTATTTTGTGTGTATGCTGGTGTAGTGCCTCATGTGTCCATGTAGAAGCTAGAGCCTGAGACTAATGTTTTTCTCTCTTGTTTTCCCTCTTTTTTTTTTTTTTTTTTTTTTTTTTTGGTTTTCAAGACAGGGTTTCTCTGTCATTTTGGAGCCTGTCCTGGATCTCACTCTGTAGACCAGGCTGGCCTCGAACTCACAGAGATCCGCCTGCTTCTGCCTCCCAAGTGCTGGGATTAAAGGTGTGCGCCACCGCCGCCCGGCTGTTTCCCCTCTTATTTTTTTGAAACAGGGTCTAACTGAACCTGGAGCTCCCTGTTCGGAGAGGCTGGATGGCCAGTGAGCTCCTGGCATCCTCCTGCCTCTGCGCCTCAGTGCTGGAGTTACAGACACACCTAACTTTTACGTAGTTGCTGGGGATCTGAACTCAGGTCCCCGCGATTCAGCAGCGAGCACTTTCACCTCCCCAGGGCTGGATAATTCCCGTGCATCATTCCGTCAGTTAGCTACGTGTCCCTGAGAGGGAGGCCCCTGCTCATGGACTCACCAGTAGTCGCCTCCAGCCATGCATTTCTCGTACACGGGGCCATCCAGTTCTTTAGCGTCTGGGAAAATCGTCTCATGATGGATGATGATGGTCTTCACGATTTCATTCACATGCGCCTGGCAAGACACTTGGTCCTGTATTTCTGGGACAGGCATCAATGTCGGGCCAAAGCAAATGGCCAAATTATAAGGGTCCATCATGTTCTCATCACTGTACTGGGAAAGACTGTAAAAGCGGGGTTTGGGAAAGGAACGTACTTAACAGGATACTTCATATTTTGAATTTATTTTACTAAAAAAAAAACCCTGTGTATGTGCATCTGTGTGTGTGTGTACACAGAGTGCAGGTGCCCTATGGAGGACATAAGGTAGTGTCAGGTCCCCTGGAGCAGGAGCTACAGGTGGTGGGTGCTGGGATCTGAACTCACATCCTCCAGAAGAGTAGGGCATACTCTTCATGACTGAGCCATCTCTCCAGCACCCCAGATTAAACTATTGGTTTTCTTTTTATCATTAGAGGAAAAATGATATTCCATCCACTTAATCGAACCCTGGACAGACTAAGATCGACTAGGTAGGAGAGGAAGGGAACACACATCCTCTCTGTCTGAGTCAGAGGCGCTTCCTGAAGCCCTGAGTTTAAAAACGACATCAACTGTAATAGAGATAAGGACCGAGATGAGTTTCCCTGGTAAATACTAAGGTCTCGGCCCATAAATGCAGCTCATGCGAATCTGGGCAGTTTCCATAAAGCCTTACGATTATATCTTTACATTTGCCCTACCACTCCACGACATCTTAGCTTTCAACTTTTCCCCCTTATAAATCTTGAAGAAAAAAAAAAAGTAGAATAAAAGCAAACCATCTTTTTTTTGCAGGGAGGCAAAGAACTGTGAGCTGAGAGCCTGCCGCTGTGTCTGCGCCCTAGGTGACAACTCATGCCACGAAAGACGCTGAAAGGCACAAGACAAAAGGGCAAATCTTAATTCTCTTATTGCCCCTTATAAGGTGGGAAAGCTCTGGGCACAGTGCTGGCTGTCTGCGACTAATTTCCCAGATGTTGACGATACTTCACAGGCGACTCCCAGCCAGCCAGCCAGTCAGCTCTTTAATGCTGGGCTTCTAACACTCAGGGAATCTGCAATTCTCGGGAGAGTTTGGAGTATAGAATGTCAGCCACCAAAGGAAATGCAAAATGCAGGCCAACAGAACACAAGGGGGAGGAGAGAAAAAGGAGACTCCATCGCCTTTGTGAGGCAGTGACAGATACTTAGCATCCAAGACACCACCTGACGGGGTACCTCAGCCTTTAATGGAGATCAAGAGATAGTGGAGAGAGGGAAAATGCAAAGAATGATCCCCACAGCTACCAGATGTCCTTCCCTTCTGCCATTTCTCAAGTATACAAAAAAAAAAAAAAAGGGCCTCCCATTGCCGCCAGGCGACCGACCGAGTGACACCTTGAAACACCGGGTTAGGGGAAGAAGTGAGATCCTGCAATAAGAACTGCCCAGTTTTCAAAACTCACACCTGAGCTCAGTGGGAAGAGTTGGGCTTAATCTTTCTAGGTCTTTATTTTAGTCCTGGCTTGAAGAACATAAATTCGAGTTAAACTGTGACTTCCCAGTTTTGATTTTACAGGAGAAAAGAACCGCTCACCCCCCTTTTCAGGATTCCCGCTTCAAGCATCCTGGGTGGGGGTGGGGGTGGGGGAGCGGGGCTCATCTTTCTGCGCAGGCATCCTGTGGGCAGAACCAGTGAACGCAGTGCCAGCTGCCCGACGGGTGAGGCCTTTGCCATCCACCTGAGCTTCGCCAAGAGTTACATTAAAGCCTGGAGAACTTCCTTGGTTGGAACACTGCTTTCCTAGGCCATGGTGGGTCATCACTCACCAGTTCACAGCAGGTTTTGCCCTGGAGTGTCAGAAACACTGGACAGGAACAGCACTGCTGACCCCCTGGGGGGCCACACCAGTTGTTGGGGGAGGGGAAGCATGCATTTTCAAGGTGATCCTGGCCTCTGACAATGTTTTGGGTGACCAGGCTTAGTCAAAGGTAGCCATGGGCAGCAACTGTTTATGGTAGATGCACTTCATATCCCTTTTTAAGGTAGCACTTCTGTCCAAATGGCCTCTTACTGTCCTTTGGGAATGTTTTAGGTACCCTAAGGTGAGCCATAAAGCCTAGTTCTGTTCTCCCTGTAAGCAATTCCCTAATGTATGCTCTGTGGCTCTTGTGGCCAATCTGAGTGGGTTTGATTTTAGGACTAGCCAGCAGGGTTGTCATGAGTCTCCATGGCTCCTGTGAGTGAAATACAGGTGAAAAAAAAAAAAAATCCTCATTTGAAGAAGGGAAGAATCCGTACTAGAGGGAGAAGGCATGTCCCTCTGCTCACTTAGCTGTTGACTCTCAGGAATTGTGAGCATCTAGCTGCTTAACTGAAATGTGGAACAAGAGGAAGACGTTTAGATGGGATCTGAGGGAGACTTGCCTATGGAACCCACTCGTCAGCAAACAGCGCAACAGAAAACCAAGTTGCCCCATCAAGAATCAAGTTTCTTTGTAAACCATGTTAGTGTTTTCTTAAGATTCCTGTTTCAACATTGTAGCGAGAGACTGCAAGATAAATACTTTGTTCTTGACGAGGCCTCATTTTTTTTTGTTTTTTGTTTTTTGTTTTTGTTTTTTGAGACAGGGTTTCTCTGTGTAGCTTTGCGCCTTTCCTGGAACTCACTTGGTAGCCCAGGCTGGCCTCGAACTCACAGAGATCTGCCTGT